CATCCATGAGTTTACCTCAAGTTACTCCAGGTTCCATCAAGATGCCGATCATCAAGAAAATATTGCTTTCTCCTCAGCCCTGCTCAGAGCCTTTCCCAGTTGTCTGAGGTACCTCATGAGTCTGGCTACAACAAGTCCCCTGCCAGGGTTAAGTTGGCTGCGTGGGCCCCAGACCGCTGCTGGACACAGCAGCAGCATGGTTGCTACATGGAGGCCATATTGTCATCACACATCCAGAGGCCACGCAGCAAGATGGCTTTGAAAGTATAGAAATAAACGGTTTCCAGAATAGGGGGCAGGCGGCCTCCAGGGCTAGGTTTGCTAAGGGGGGGTTACACAACCAGCAGAAGTTTCAAGGTGTCACGGTTAACGGGGTTAAGAGGCTCAGTCAGCCCCACATAGTGCTTGTTTCCCGTGAAAAACGGGGTGGGGGACCGTGGAAGCCACGCTCTCAGGGCATGTTTTGCTGAGAGTCCATCCTCTGTGCCTATCACAGCAAACAGCAAAGTTGGTGAGATCTACAGGACAGGGTGCTCACTTCCTTCAAAACTCCAAGCCCGGCCTCTGCAGGACCCCACACCAGCTCAGGACCTGGAGATGCAGGAGCCCAGGGAGGGAAGATAGTTTTTATCTGTTTTGGAAATGACTATCTGGAGAGTGCAGTGATTGATTGCCAATGTCTCCTGTGGGAGAAAGTGTCAGCATATTGGCCATCACTGAAGGAGGTTTAGATGAACAAAAGAAAGCCTTCTGACCCATGTATTTTTTTATTGTACATTTTTGGTAAACAGTCATCTGTGAATGGCGCACCTGTCTGTACATCTCTGGGGGGGCTATGGATAGATGCATATGGTTTGTATGAACAGTCGATGGCCCAGAATACCCCATTTCCCAGCCATTACTGGAAAAAGGCAAAGCTTCATCTCTGTTCACATACTGATCATAATCAACATGATCATTAATATGATGATGACGGTCATCACCAGATACGTCACCAATACTGCCATCATCCTCCTCCTCCTCATCATCATGATGTCATCACCGTGACCATCACCCTCATCATCAACACCACCACAGTCATCAACATCACCATCATCATCTTCTTCCTCTTCATCACAGTAAGAGCTAATGCTTACATGGTGCATCTCATGGGACGATTAATTCGTTAAATTAATTCACTGATTTAAATGAATTATTTCGCTAAATTCTCATACTATGAAGTAAGTCCTAGCATTAGGTCCATTTTATTGATAAACCGATGGAGGTTAAGGAACTTGCCCAGGATACACAGGCAGGATTGGAACCCAAGCAGTCTGATTCCAAAGCCAATGCTTTAACCACTGTGCTCAGCTGAATATGGACTGTTCATTCCCTCTTCTCAGGACAGAAAGTTACAGATAAGAATAAACACCTGCAGAAATGCAATGTGGAGAAATGGGCTCACCAAACCTGAGCTCTAGTCCCAACTCAGGAAAGGCCCCGGCACCCTCAGGCCTCATTTCCCCATCTGTAAACCAAGAATGTGAACCACTGGGTGGCCTGCCAGCTCCTTCAGATTTCAAGGACCCCAGAAGCCTCTGCAGAGTCATCCCAGGGAAGCCAGCAGGGTTCTAATGGCTTTGGGTGGACACTCCAGCAGGCTGCCTTGATTCTGACTGATGACTGTGGGTGGGTCCCAGGGATGAGAAAACCTGGGTGCAGCAGGACAGGTCCACTCAGGTCCCTGGAACCCATGCCAGCACTCCCTCACTGAGGGTTTAGGGGACAAGTAACCAAATGGTGTCCTACTTTTGGCTCCTAACATTCCTTCTTGTAAATATGGTAATGCAGTAGATTCCGACCCATACTATTCATTAGGAATTTTCAAGTCAGATGCAGTGGTTCATGCCTGTAAGCCCAGCACTTTGGGAAGAGGATTTCTTGAGCTCAGGAGTTCAAGAACAGCCTGTGCAACACAGTGAGACCTTGTCTCTACAAAAAAATTAAAAAATTAGCCAGGTGTGGTGACGTGTGCCTGTAGCTCAGTTATTCAGGAGGCTGAGGCAGAAGGATCACTTGAACCCAGGAGTTAGAGGATGCAATGACCTGTGATCATGCCACTGCACTCCAGCCTGGGCAACAGAGTGAGATTCCAACTAAAAAAAACAAAAAACAAAAAAAAGCTCATGCAGCCCTACAGACCACAAGCTGCTGGAGGACAGGGATCAGGCTGCACCATAACACTCACCTCTGAGGTAGGTAGCACTGAGCGATTTTCAAAGGTCTTTACCATTCATAATCTCATTTGAGCCTGAACCACTCTGAGCAGTAGTGGGAACAGATGGTGATGATAATGGAATAACGGGAATGGTGCTGTCACCTGCATACTGAGCACATCTGTAGACTGAGTGCCTGCTGTGGATTGAAAGCCAGGTCCCAGTACGCTACACTATACCTCCCTCCACCTTCAGCATGACCTGTGATGGGGAATATTTTGGGGCCACATAACCGAAGGAGAAACTAGGCTCGGTGAGGGCCAATTTTCATACCAGAGGTGGGGTGAAAACTGGAGTCCCCATGCAGAGGCCAGGTCTGCCCCTGTTTTCAATCATGGGTCAAAATGACACTGTGGCAAGAACAAGCCCTTCCACGAACCCCGTGCTCCACTCCACATGTCCCCTTGTGGGCATCTCACAGGTTGCTCATCTCATGTGGACTCCAGCCTGGGCAAAAGAAAGTCAACTTAGACTAAACATTTTCTGCACACCCATGCCAGTGCCAGGCCCTGCCTTGGGGATGGGAACGTAGTGACACATGCGAAAGGTTCTCTGTAACTGAGGAGCTTGCTGGGAGCTCCTAGGGGCACACTCTAGGGTTGACGGCTTTGGTGTGGTGGCCCCAACACCGAGCTTATGGCAAGTGCTCAATAAATGAGCTTACAGTACAGGGAGGGGTGCAAGACATGCAATTATAATCCAGAGCCAAAAGTGCAGTGATGTAGTGAAGCCTGGGAGCTTCTGGGAGTCTAGGAGGTACTTAATGCAGCCTAGTATGCATGCACATGCATGTGTGTGTATGTGTAAGTGTGTGCATATGTAAGAGGAGGCATCAGGGAAGGCTTCCCAGAGGAGGAAAATCTAAAGAATGATTAGCCTTCAGATTTAGTCAGGACACAAGAGGAGGGTAAGGAGCTCCAGGCAGGGGGAAATCCTGAGCTGGGGCTCACAAACATCGAACAGTCGTGTGTGTGTGTGTGTGTGTGTGTGTGTGTGTGTGTGTGTGTGTGTGTGTGTGTGTGTACGTGCGCATGCATGTACCAGGACACAGGAGTTGTTCAGTGTTTTAGGATGTGAAGAGCAGAGGCTGGAGTGAACTGGAAGTTTTGGAAGCACATTCACAAGCCTCCCCCTGTCTCGGGCAAAGCAATTTTCCTCTCTAGAAGATGAGAACATGAGGCCCACAGAGCCAGTGGGTGGCAGAGCTGGGTTTGGGACAATAGTCTGACTCCTAACCAGGGCTCAGGTGGAGTGGGAAGTTAAAGTTGGACTCTGTAGGACTTCTGGGAAACAGGCAGGAGACAAAGTGTGGGCCTCCTGGCAGCATACAGCAGGTGAGGGCCTATGAAACAGGGCTAGGGGAGGCAGGTCAGGGGCTTAAACCAGCAGAGACAGGGGTCAACCATGGTTCTCCCTTGCCAGGGTACTGGGAGGCAGAGCAGAGGGTCAGAAGTTGGTCACACAGAGGCTCACACGTGACACTCGAACCACTGAGCTAATCTCCAGGCCCTGCTAGAAGCCAGGCCAGCCCATTCTACTAGGCCTCTTTATCTGCCTCTAGCTCAGCCTTCTTCCAGAGATTTGCAGTAGGCTCCAGTTTCCCCCTCCAGTTTCTGGGCCCCACATAAGCCAGGGATATGACCGAACCAGGCATGATGCAGGATAAAGTCACCTGCCCAGCACTCAGCCTTAAGTAGATGCTCAATAAATGAGATGAAGAACCACTGGCATCCCCAAGAGGCATTGCTGCATCCCCCACAAAATGCTAGCCCTGTCGAGCCTTATACACATCAGGTGCTCATCTTGCTCTCACATGTCTCTTTCCTAACACAAATATCACACTTCAAAAAACAAGTGGGCAGTGCCCAGGGAGAGGAAAACAAGATGCTAGTGAGTTATTGAGGAGAAGTCAGAAAACCTGGGTTTCAGTCCTCTTCATGTCACTGTGATGCTTGGGGATCTTGCAAAAGATACTTCCCCACCCCCGAACCTCAGCTTCCCTCATTTAGACAGGGGAGACTGGGATCAGTGACTCCATTAGTCAAGGAGAGAGTTGAGTTCTGCTGCAGACCCACAGGGCACAGACCCTCGCAGACAAATGCTCCCAAGTTTCTGTCTGGCTTAAAGAGTCTTGGCTCCCAACTCAGCCAGGGCTGCTCCTTTCTCTCTGACTCTCACCTGCCAGAGAGGCAGTTTCTAGTGCCAGGCAGTCAAAGCAGCACCCCAGGTGCAGGGAAGGAAGGCTGGACAGACAGACAGACAGACAGACAGACAGATGACACAACTTTCTCACTCTCTGTCCAACCTCTGGAGCTCAAGACAGGAGACCTGAGACAACCTCACAAACGTTGTGGCTGACTACTGAGCAAATCCTTTGATGAAGCTATAGGGTGGCTTTGAACTTGATGTTAGGGACCTGTGGGAGAAGGGGTCACCCTAGGTCTTTACATCTCTCCATATATCCAGTCAGGGACAGATCCACAAATGCATCATGCAATGTTTCATCTCAATTTCTTAAAAAAATGTTTCAAATATGAGTGAGAGTCAGGTACCCCATGACTTCCACTTTCACCCTCCAGGGAAGAAGTCCATGTTCCCAGAAAGCCCACAGCATCCCCTCCAAGGCTGAGAAAGCCTGTGCTATCAGTACTCAGGCCTGGCTGGTGATCAGTGCAGCAGGCATCAGCCACCTACAGCAGCCCTGGCAGCCACAGGGTCTGGCCGGGAGGGCTGGGCTGGACTCACCTTCACATTGCCTCCCTTCCCCCTTGTAGCCTGGTTTGCAGAGGCATTTGTAGGACTTGGGTGTGTTCTGACAGATGGCATCGATGTGGCAGTCATCTGTGCCCTCTGAGCACTCATCCACGTCGACTGCTCCTATGGGTGTGTGGGAGGGAGACAACAGGTGAGATGTGGCCCGGGAGTAGGCAGTCGATGATGTGGGGCAGGGGAGCTCTTGCCTGTGCCTTTCCACCGACCAATGGGCTCACTGACGATAACTGCCACAGGACAATCTGGTGTGACAAGTGGCAACTGGTAGCATCTTTGGGGTAGCTACAATGTGCCAGGTACAATGCTATCAATATCCTTGACTTCATTTATCTTCATGACAATCCCACTGAGTACGCCTATCATCCCACTACAAATATGAGAAAACTGAGGCTTAGGGACACAATGAGGAAAAGCCCCTCTTTCTGTGTGTCCTGCTCTCCCTATAAGCATCACTCCAACCCTCTTCCAGTCTCCTTACTCTTGAATTTAGAGCCAGGAGGGTCCTTGGAGAAACTTAAATCCAGCCCCTTTGGGTTACAGATGGGGAAAAAGAGGCTGGGTTGAGCAGTGAGAAGAGGTCAGACCAGGAGGCATATGAACTGAACATGGCATCCCACCTACGCTGGGGAGATATGAGACTCTTCCTCTAGCTTCTACTGGAGTGTTCAGTCAGTGGTGGAACCACACCCTCAACTGGGCTTACCAAGCCCCATTCATGGTTCTGATTGTCCCCCCACCACTCTCTTCCCTTTTCCCCTCCTCAGAAATGTAGGTGTAGGTGTGAGCCTGGTTCGCATATCCCAACTTATAAACTCAAATTCAGTTTAGGTTTTGAGGGCTCCTGACACTCCCCACATCCCCTCCTCAACACACATGTATACCTTCATTCTTGAACAGCTGCTGTGCAAAGCAATGCAAAATTGATTCTGTGTATCTGTGTATACACCCTGACCCTCCCTCACCCCCTGCAAAAACACAAAGATTTCAGATGATGGGGGGAGGCCTCTGGGCACAGGATAGCACAGCCAGAACCTTAACTCTAATCCAGGTTAATTCCTCAGGTTTTGGATGAGGAAACAGAGGTCCAGTGAGGTCTGTCGTTGGTCACTGAGGCAGGGACTACACCCTGACACAGTATGAGCTTTTCTATGTGCCATGCTACTTCCAGCTAGATATGAACAACATGTAGGTGGATGGCAGACAGACAGAAGGACCCAGAGCACCACAAGGGACTCTCTCTCAGCAGCTGTCATGAAGACAGTATCCCCAGGGGTCAGCTCAGAATGTCCCCATCTTTTCATGCCTCTCGCTTCAACTTAGATTGCCTGGCCCCCTCAAGAGTGCCCACTCTGAATGACTCCCTGGCTGATGTCTAGGTTCTAAATAAGCGTGTTGAGTATCTCTTAGAGAGTCACTTCCCACCAGGATTCCTCCTCTGCCCCAGACCTAAGACTCCAGCCCACCTCTGAAGGAAGAGAGGCATCAACACACACACACACACACACACGCACACACGCACACACACCAGAGTGATCTCCCTGAACACACATATGTGCACACACAATCACATAGCAGGTGGCATCACTTTTTGGGGGGTTGTATCTTCTCAGGTGGGCAGTCCATCCTCTATAGCTACCCAAAGGAAGGGTGGAAAGGAACCCAGGAGGCAGTGGATGGAGGGGGCCAGAGCCGGCAATCAGAAGGCCAGAGACCAGCAGGAACATCTGTAATTGGCCTTCTGGGGAAGTGTCTCCCTCCCACTGCCCCCTCTCCTGTTTCTCTCTTCTGATGTCCATCGGTCTCCTTCTCTCTCTTCCTTCCCATCGGCTGATCCATCGTCTTTTGATCTCTGCCTCCCTGCTGTCCATTTCCCCATGCAGGGGTGGCACCGCCTCAAGGGCTACCAGAGCCCAGAGAGGGCCAATGTACATGCTCCCCGAGGGGAGGACTGGGGCCACTTCTGAGAGGGGTAGTGGGCCACAGATATGGCCCTTTCCATTTTCCAAGGGTCAGTGCATGAGACTGGGAAGGGAAACTGCCTGGGGCTCTGAAGTCCCTTGTGACCCCCGCAATCTCCCACCTAGGTAGGTGTCCTCATCAGGATGGAAGTGGATGGGTGCTGAGGGGTTAGTGGGATCGTCTCCCAACACACCTTATAAACACATCCTTAGGTGGGGGTAGGGGGTGGGGAAGGGCAGGCACCTTCAAGGAGAGAGGGAGAGGAGCCACAGACCTTTTCCCCACAGGTCCTCTGGCCGCAATCCCTGGTCTGGGCTGGAGATTCTGTGGTTTGCTTATATTGGGGACTGGCTGCTGGGGTTTCACAGTCATAGAGTTTCCACAGAGGAGAGGACAGGAGGTGGGAGACAAGACAGACACAGAGCGACACCAGGAGGGACAGAGAGGTGGAGAGAGGCACATATAGGAACAGTCACACAGAAGCGAAGGACCCCAACGCTTGGGAGAGACTCCCACAGGCACACGTGGGTATGGTCAGCAGGACTGAGCTTCCTGAGCTTCCGGGAGGAGAGCATATGGAAGCAAGCTTCGCTCCAACTGTGGAGGAGTTTAAATGGTCTGGCATCCTCACTCAGAGCGGGCGTGACACCAGGAAGAGACCCCACGCTGCCACCAAAAACAGACCTCAGAGAGCCTAGAGGGGTGGGTGGGACCCTCTTTCCCCCAGGAGAGAACAGGAGGAAGCTCCTCTGAAGCTGTGGAGGAGGGAGTGTGACTCCAGCTCTGCCGGGAAGTCCCTCCAGGAGGGGAAGGGAGGGCAGGAAAAGCTACCAGGCAGCCCACCTTGCTTCTGCTGCCTGCCCGACCACGGCTTGTGCCCACTCGCGTCCTGCCTCCCTCTCCTGCATCTGCTCCACTGATGTCCCACGTCTGGTCTCTCCTCCCCCTGTCTGTCTGTCCTCTGCTTTCCTGCGTGTCTCTCTCCCACCTCCTCCTGTCTGACTGTCCATCTGTCCGTCCCGTTCCAGGTATCTGGGACCTTCTCTTGCCTGTCTCCCTCCCACTGCCCCCTCTCCTGTCTCTCCCTGGTGTCCATCTGTCTCCTCCTCTCTCTTCCTTCCCACCGGCTGGTTCACCGTCTTTTGATTTCTTTCCTCCCTGCTGTCCATCTCCCCTCACTTGAGTGTCCTCCTTCCCCCTCAAGCCTTTCTGTCTCTTCTCCAGCCGTCTGCGTCTCTTTCTCTGGGCTCCGTCCTGCGTCCTTTTGTCTGTTCCCCCAGCGCCTCCTTTTCTGTCCGTCTGTCCATCCACACCTCTCCTCCCTCTCCCTCTCGGTCAGTCCTTTCCCCTTCGCTTCCCTCCCCCACCCCCGGCTCCCCTCCGGCCCTTCCGCC